GGGGCGTCGTCTGCCGTCCCATGCCTGCGTCCCGGTCCCGCAGCAGGAGAGACAGAGGGATGCCTGTGAGAGGCGGATGGAGCCCAGGAAGCTGCGCTCGGGAAGATCGCGCTGCGCTTCCTCTTCGTGTCATTCCTGCCAAGCCCGCCGGGCAGCGAGGGGTGGCTGCCGAGCATTCAGGATGCCGCCCCCACCGCGGTCAGCGCCGGGGCGCAGGTGGCGGCTGCCCGGCTCCGAGCCCGTCCTGGTGTAGCCAGCCCGTTTGGGCTGCGGCCGGACCGGCCTCGTTTGGAAAGGTCTCTTAAGCCTCTCGATGCGTGTCATGTTGCTTCCTTCTTGCCCCCTGCCCAGCGCTATTCCTGGGTGAGTGCCCTTGTCTTACCCCTCTCCATTTCTGAGGGGCACTGCTTTACTTGAAAGCTTTAACATGTGAAGCAGGTTTCATAAATAATGAATATAGTAGCATTTTTTTTTTTCTGTTACGACACACTGATTTACTGGGTTTTTTGTTTTGTTTTTGTTTGTTTGGTTTTGTTTTTTTTGTTTGTTTGTAATGGAGTCTTTTGTAACAAGTGAGGCAGCATAACTCAGTCTGAGGTCGGCAAGTTGTGAACGGGACCTGATCCTACTCACGGTAGTGGTACAAAGGATTCTGCCACTGAAGTCACAGGAGCTACTTCTGGGAATTAACCCCCTTCTTTAGGGGAGTGTTTCCAGAATATGGCCCTTGCGTTGAATCCTTCTGGCGTGCCTTAAACTTCACAATGGGAACCGTGATGGGGGAGATGTTGGTAATTTATTACGTGTTTATTTTTGAGGCTTTCCAAGTGTTTACATCAAACCCTGTGCTGAGAATCATTGGGCCAACCTTTGAACTTTAGTCAGGTTTCAGCTATGTTTTTCCAGGTGCAGAGATCACCATGCACTTTGTGGGCATTAGTAGTTGAAGAGTTCATAGTAGTTTCTTTCCTTGTAATTAAGAGATAAAACAACAGTATGATTGCTGTAAAAACATCAGTTATTAATTTGCTGCTATGTCATCATAACTTGCTAGTTACGCAAGAGTAATGCTTTGTTATTGCTACAGAGCTTCTTCCAGAAGGTTTTGTTCTTCTAGAAATGATTGTGTGTTTGGATGGGATTTTTTTAACAGTAGTATTTGCTTTGTGAGGTTCTGTATATTTATTTCTTAGTTGTCTATGATCTTACCTAGTTCCTTAAGTTTGATTAAGAGGTTAATGGCTACCTGAAAGCACTTTAGTGTGTGGAAATTATTGCATGCAAGTTTGGGGGGACAACTTGAATGCTTCTCGTTTTACATACTTGTACTTTGTTTAGTTACAGACCTTGCAACCTGCAATGAACAGGAAGAGGTATGGTTATAATTTGATATGTAGCTGAACACTTAGGCCACAACAACAAAAAAGTCTAAACCACCACAAAGTTTATTATTATATGCTGTATGTGGTGTATAGGTAGAAAGTGGGCATAAGGTGTCTCCTGGACTAAAAATACAGAAATAGGTACACTACTGTGTTTCACTTATTCTCAAATATCAGACTTTGAAACATAGAATATATATGAAATATAGGGCTGGGCTCTTTGGTATTCAAAGATTTCCTTACCTGGCTTGCCCCACTAGTGTGCTGACAGAGGTATTTTTGTTATGAATGAAGGAACTGCATAAATGGGCCTGTCATGTAAGAATACCGAGTACTTTGGCAGATGAAACATGTTTTTTCAGCATGATTGCCACATTGCATGATGCTTCCTGCTGTGTCCATTGCTGCTACAAGTGTTTGAGTGTCTCTTCCGTGGATCTGTGAACAGGGATGGATTTAAACGTGGAAAGAGTTTTATGTGGCATGTTAATTACAGCAGAGGATCTAGTCCTTCTGTGTCTTTAGTAGCTGACATGTAGGATGTGTGTAATTTATGCTTTTAATTTTTTTTCTGTATACTTTCGGGAAAATTGTAAAAGTTTTTGATGCAGTTACTGCTGTCTCTTCTCTGTAGTCGAAAGCATTCTTTTTGTTCTTGTACCTTTGAAAATAAAAAGCAACCACTGATGTGTTTGCTAAGTTTGGTCTTACACTTTTGAAAGTGAGTTTTGTGAGGAAAATTATTAACTATAATTATTAACAATTAGTGACAATGTAAGAAGGAATGCTGCTGCCAAAATTAAAGTATTAAGGAGGGAAAAATCTTCAAATTACAACAAAGTGTTGTTTCATTTTTCCATACAAAACATACTGTTTCCACTAGATAGAAGTTAATGGAACTTTTTTTTTGTCTGAGTTCTTCCTTATCCCCTCATGAGTTGTCTCAAAGGTGTGTTGTTTTGTTTTTGTAATTCTGTTTATCATCAGTATGGCAGTAAGCAATGTTTCTTATTGTTTGGTGTGTGCTTTCAGAGGACCATAGGAGTTTGTTGCTTGCAGAAGCTCTGCTGGAGGAATGTTTGAAGGAAAACTTTGCCAAACTGAAGGACTCAATTCCACTGTCAGAGAAGAGTGAGCCCAAACTGAGTGAAGCTAAACAGTATCTGACCAGTATCTTAAGCAGAGGGAAACTAAGAGTAAGTGGGCTCTTTTGTCATAATCCTTGCCAACTGGATACTTTTTTCATATGATTATTAGTCTGATACAGGGTGTGGGTGTTGCCTGTTCATGTCCATGGATGTACAGTGCTGTATTGTAGCTGATACTAAGAGACTGGTAATTCCCCTAGGCAAGATTTTATGTTGTGAGACTTGCTTTTTCATATGCAAAGAAATTTTGTGCTACAAGGACAAAAAAAAAAAAAAAAAGAAAAAAAAAGAATCCTGTTTATTTTTTCTAAACTGGAAAGAAGCAGGATAAGTACTTAGAATTTCTCATAGGTAGTGGGGTGTAGCCACATAAGGATGCTGTCAGGCCAGCACAGCAGAGTGATCTACTGCTGCTCCAGATCTGAGGAAATTGTGCACAACTGGTTAGTCCCTGATTGGAGAAAAATGTGCCACAAGCTGCTGTCAGGAACTTAGGGTTGTGCTGGGAGGACTACAGCCTTGCACTGCCTTCGGTATCTATTAGACAAGTAATGCTTTTATTTTGTTTTGTGATCTGGATGTGTGGCTGGTAGCTGCTTGTCAACTCAGTTGCAGAGCTTTAGGAGGATTTTAATACTCTCCTTTGATGGCATAGTGCTGCGTTGGTGTCCTTTGACACGCAGTTGGATAACTGTTTAGATGTAAACGAATTACAACATTCATAGTCTTTTATTGCTTTTGGTCCTGAAATTGCCAGGCTAGTTTATTTAGCTTGGAAATGTATATTATACTTTCACCATGTTATTTTCCAATGAGCAAGGTCAGTCTATTTAGAGCATAAAATGGAGGGAGTAAGGAAGGGGAGTCTGTCCAACCTTGTTTCTTTATAGTTCAGCCCCATTAACAGCCAGAACTACTGAATTCTTCCAGTTCCTTGTGTTTAGTTTGGCTCCATGAATTGCTATTACCATTTCTCTGCTAGTAGGGACTTAGCTACTATTGCTGTGTTGATTGCATGTATTAAAAAAAAATGGGTATGAAGGCTTAGGAACCTTTTCATGCTTTCCCAAGGGTCTGAACAAATGTGTTTTACCGAAGTTGTTACATTTGTTCTCAATCCTTAAATAAAACTAATCTTAGAAATAGCAGGTGTGCCTTCTTCCATTTTATCACTTGTGTATGAAAATTCTTTGACAACTAAAGAAAACTTGGGTGTTTTCTCACTCTTTTATTAAATATATAGAAGAGAGGAGAGTGCTTGTCTAAAAAATGTCTAGTTTAAAAGCAGGGATTTTTCTTAGTTTGTGTGTAGGTAATTCTGACAATGCCAGCCATTTATGTGCTCTTTGTGGCTGGTGAATCAATAGAGCAGGTGAGCTGAGACCAAAAAGTTGGGTTACAAACTGTATTTAAAAACTGACCTCCAAAGTGGTTGACTGACCTTCATTGCCTACTGCTCTCATGAGCTTAGCTCTTGTAGTTGTGAGAGGAAAGCATTCTAAGCCTGCCTAATTTGCTGTGGAGTACTTCAGTCTTCCTGTCTGGTATTTCCCCCTGTAAACACGTTTTCTCTCCCTGCTCCATTTCAGCCGAAGTATATGACAGAAGCTATGCTGATCCTAGGAAAGCTTCATTATGTGGAGGGATGCTACAGAGATGCCATCAGCATGTATGCAAAAGCAGGGATTGATGACCTTTCAACCAAAGATGAACCTCTGTATGTGCTGCGTTTGGTAACTGAAGCCTTTGTTGTTAAAGGTAAAGGACCATGTGTGTATATGTGAAGTACGCTGGTTTTAGGTTGAAGCTGTCTCTCCAAGTGCTTTGGCTGGAGCAGGATTAGGGCAAAAATGTATGCTGTTGAAAATCTTAGATGGTATGGTCTGTGTAGTTTCAAACTTAAAGGCATTATGGAGTCTTAGTTCATGGTTTTTAAACTTGGCTGGCTTATAAAGAAAAGCTTGAAATTGGAACTCTTGTGATCACTCTAGGCTGTAAGTCAGTGACATGCTTGAGCTTGTGTGTCCATTTTGGGAAAATCTAAATCAAGCTCTTGGCTGAATTGAGGCCTATGCTTTCTCTTAGAAAGAGTTCATCTACTTGTACGTTTCAGTGATTTCTGTGAATTAAACAATTACATTGTCTCCAAGTTTTATACTTTGAACTAACAGAATATGTGCTTTCTAAGCAGGTAGTATTTTTTGCACTGCATGTCACACAGTATCAGACCTTGTGTACAAACAGGAATCTCTCCTCCCCCCTTATAACTCTACAGACATTGCACTGTTCCAGAGATTCTAATTAAAACTACCTCTGTGGGCAGTGAAATTACATTTCCTTTTTGAGTGGGGGAAAGGAAGACTCTTGTCTGTTTTTGACTTGGGAGGAGAAAAAGATGAGTAATCTTCTCCTTCATTTGCTTTCGGTTTCTTTATAAATGTTTCTCAAGTACTGCTACCTATCTACTGCTTTCTACTCTTTTCAGCATGTCCACCAGCTAATTAGGTGAATGAGAGCTCTGATGATCAGATACCTTCAACTGGTATGTAAAAGAGTGATACCAAATTGACCCAAAATACTGTTTGACTGGGCTGCTAGTATTACTGATAATAATATGAATCATTCTGCTTTTTTTGAAACCTTGTTTGTGCTGCTTTGCTTGCTTTGATTTTTGTTTCCTATGGTACTGATCAAATCTGCTTCATTAGTGAGCTTTTGTGGAGCAGGACTAATTTACTTGTACTTCACACTGACACTTGCATGGTGCAGAGGAGTGAGTAATTGCCAGTGTGTTTGAGAGCAACTCCTGGTGCACTCCAGAGTCTGCACTGTCCTTATTGGGAAGCAGATACAACCCTTGGTGAGGTGTGGGTGTAACGATAATGTGTGTGTGGAAATTGATGAAATAACCCTGTTGTTATAAGACCCCTTGTGTTGTGTTGACTACCTAACTTAAACATGAAGATATTGGAGGTGTTTACCTCAGTGTCAGGCAATTCTTTTGGTTTCTTTCCCTCTGTGGTTTAGCATTTAATGTAAATATCGTGTTACCTCTGTAAACCTGTCTCTGCCATTGCAGAGAAGCCTCTGTGCTGTCGTGGTTCCACAGTCTTTATCCTGCATGATGATTATTTTCATATTAGCTAAGATATCAAGAGTATTCAGTATTCTACCAAAGTTACTGGCAGAAAAAAGTCCAGCAGAGTGGAGCTCGTCTAGCTGAGTTTGGAGAGGGCACTCACTGCTGCCATGACTGTTCCTTAAGCCGTGTTCCCTCAGCCTCCCACTCTTATGTTAGCACTTTGTGCAGGTAGCTATGACAATAGCAGTGTAGATTTAAATTTTAATTTTAAAACGTGTGTCCAGGCTGCTTCTGCAGGGCAAGTAACAATATGGAGTTGAATTACTTAAAATTCATTGATACTTTATGCCATAGATCTTTCTCAGTCCCCCTTTTAATTTGGTGTCTTTCTAGAAAATATGTTGATCCATACTATATTACTGCCTTTGGTTGAACTGTTGGTTGTTTATGCAATCTGAAACCTTCTTTAAAGATGCTCTTGAATGTTGCTGGAAGTAAAATTTTTGCAGGAGCCACTTAGACAAATGTCCAGAAAAGCCACAGTCCTATCTATTTCAAGACAGAAGTTAGGTTCCCCACTTAATTTCTTGTTCACATTTTCAGAAATGAGAGAAAGCTATTGATTTAATAGAATATCCCTGTTCATCCAGCATTAGTTAAAGCAGCAGAACTTTATAGCACCTCATAGTGTGAATTTAGAACTACCTCAGTTTTGTGTAGATAATTCTGGTGAATTATACCTATATGCAAAATAGCTGCATGGGTTCTCAAGCACTCAGGATTAGGCTAAAAAGGTCATGGAAGAAAGAACAGTCAAATAAAAGGCTTATTTTTTTAATGTTGACACCTACCCTTTTAATGTTGGAAATGGACAAAAACATAACAAGAAAGATGTGGGATACAGTGGGAGGAGTTGCACAGATAAAACCAATTGTAGAAATCCAGCAAAAACAAGTTTCCTTCCTTAGAGCACCTTTTAACCTCTGCAACACTGAACTAAACCTCTGAAGTTTTTCTCTGAAAGTCCACAGCATGTACTGGGTTCCTATTACGGTAAGAGGCAGTATGGATTTACACCCTTATGTTTGGATTGAAGAAGTTGAGCAGGGAAAAAATTTCTTGCTTGCCTTCTCAGTAAACTTCCACATAAGGTGAGTATCAAGAAGTAAACATTGAAGTTCTGTATCAGTGGGTGGGCTTGTGCAATTGACAAGTTCAGGAGAAATGGCAGAGAGAGCAAGATTCTTCAGTGTCTGGTTGGACTGCTGCTTCCTGTTCTGTTTCTAAATCCCTGCATTGTGAGGAGACAAGTTTTGTGGGTGCTGTGAGTGGAGCTCTGACAACAGTTTGATTTTTCATTATGACTAATTTTAACCTCCATGGTTAGTTAATAGGTGGTTTGTTTGTACTTGTCTCCTTCCTCCCCATTCTCCATGAAGTCAATCCCTCCTTAAAATTTTACCTCTGCTCAGTTCATATTACTGCTGGTAATATCTGATGCAAGCAACTCTGTGTTGCATAAAACAGTATAGAGTAAGCAAACTTTGCTTCTAATTAAATTAGAAGACACACTGTGGCTTTGTTACCTGATGGTGTCCATTTAAAACAGGAAGCAAAAAAGACTTCAGGACAAAATGTGTAGCTGTCAGAGCACACTGGTTTCCCTCTGTGCTTGCTCCAAAAACTCTGCAGATGCCTCTCTCTCCAAAAGGAATAGATCTTCCTGGTAGTAGGTTGTAGTAGGTTGGGCTACTTAACCCTTACAAAACACTGTGTAGCTCTAGCCAGGGCTTCAGCATACTTATGCTCCAAGAAAGAGTCTTCTATGATGTGGCAATGTTTGCTGTGCTGCTGAGAGGAGAACAAGAGCTCTCTTTAACTGAGGCAGGCTGTTGCCAGCCTTGGTAATGGTGAGTCAGGCAGGGCTCATGTGTCGTGTGGGCTCTGTCTTTATAATGACTGAGAGGGGCTTTATCATGTGGTCAGGGATATGTCAGAGCTGCTGCAAGGTGAGTCAGCCCTGTGCTGAGAGGTTCCCTGTGTCTGTCAGGCCAGGCACTGGACTTCTCTACCTGGAGTGGGCTAGCCTGGAGATAGCTACCTATCTATATTTGTGCCATAGGATTGCACATGGTATCTAGTTTCTAAATGGATATCTAGAGAGTTAAAGGTTTAAAAGTCCCACTGCCTATTTTTCTCCTTTTCTCCCAGTCCATCCTGTAATTTTTGTAATTTAGTCACTTTTCTGTAATTATTGGCCATTTGGCAACTCGGGGCACATTTAATTTGTGCAGCTTCAGCCTGAACTCTCTGTAGGGTCAGAAGCTGGCTGTTGTTGGATGATTCATCTCCTCTTCAAATGGCGTCTGACACAGTTGATGTGAATGCTGTTGTACAATACAGCCTCTTCTTGGGTGACTCTGAGAGAAGACTGTGGACTAAGTTGGGATTTATCCCTTGTGATTTTGTGTCTAAGTGGTTTTGTTCTTTAGTGTTTGGGGTTTTCTAACTTTAGAAAATATATCAATTTTATCAAAGGGCTGCAGTGTGAGAAGAGAACAAAGTGATAATATGTTTGTAAGAAGCCTTGATCGTAGTCTGCGTTTTATTGTAATAAATCCAACCACAAGTCATATGTGCGAGGAAATGAGGCTGTGTTAGTGCAGTGGTACAGAACTTTCTATATTCAGTTCTTGGACCCATTTTAGTAATTTAAAGATGCTTAAGATCTGTGGTCTGATGCTTTTGACAAACGGAAGATAAAATCTTGAGACAAACATTGCTGGATTGAGCCACTGATATTTAGACTTCTTGTAAGAGCTGTGAGTGGTATTTCTGAAAGCAAAACCTTGAAACTATCCATGTGAGGGTTTTTCCTGTGAATGATAATGATAAACAGCCTGGAACCTGCTTCCAGTGTCTTGGGTTCAGCATATCTTGGTTTGGATTATTTTGTGTTTGTTCGGTCTTAGAACAAATTACTGAGCTTATGTGTGTTCCTGTTTCTCTTGAGGTTGTATGTTTTAAAAATTCAGTGGTAATGAGGTTTATATGCTTGGAATTATATTGTTTTGCTTTCTGCCCATGTGAAATTATTGTCTTGGGCTTCTAATACTGGAAGTGGTTATTTGGAGATTCTGGTGGTGCTCTGAAAGGAGAATGGTGATATCACACACAGATAAACAGAAAACCTGACCTTTTACTCAGCTGGTTTAAAAACTATTTGCTTGGTTTTAATCATTGTTTTAAATTGACCAAGTGAAGCCTCAAAATTTGAATAAACTCTTAAACTTAGTGATTGTTCTGCTTAATTAGTTTCTTGTTTTGCATTTTTCTTGTCTTGCACTACTGTTCAAAATGGTGGAAACTGATGAATGAAAACTCTGCATACAGATTTGCATACAGTAAATACAAGCTTAGTATTAAAGTTGTTCATTCTAGCTAATCAGAGGATATATCATGCACTTGTTCATATACTTAACTGGTGTCTTTAATTTTGATGTTTGCTTCTGTTATCCTTTTTTCTAATATGGTTTTCTACATGATGAATAATTTCCTAGGTGAGATTTGTATTCAGTTGCTTTTGTTTGAAAATTAGAATAGAATGTAGAGTTAAAGATAACTTTATTGCAAAGCTATGTTCTGATAAATCTACTTTTCCCTCCTCTCTAAAGAA